GCTATGGCTTCTTAACAATTACCATGTGACACAACTGTATTTCTGAATTTTCTGAATCCTCAGACCTCGTCTAACAATCAGCAGCCATGAGCTCCACTAAGCAGTTTTCTAGCACTCTGTGAGTTCAAATAATTTTTCCCACCTTGTAAGAAAAGACTAAAAGAAGATAACTGAGCATTTTCAGGTACCATTCTCCTCATTAATAGGAACAGAAGATTTGGGATTTAAAGCACCAGAAAACTTTCCAACTGATCTCTTCCATGATTGCTTGGAAAGTAAATAAAGACCCAAGGTGATAGAAAAAGCCCTTAAGAACTATATAGTCTGGAGGGACAGTGTTGGGTTTGGGCAAAACTGCCCCCATGCTAGCTGTGAAAAATAATACAGAGTGACTTTCTTGGGATATTCTAGTTTTAAATTGGACAAAACCAGAAAGCTAAGCCTGTGAACCAAACAGAGGAGAGTGTCAATGTCTACATCAACAAACAGGGTGGCAATAATGCATGCTACATTATTTAAAATCAGGGTGCAGAACCTACAATGTGATTGTGCTCAGAAATTCAAAGTTCTACACTGGCCTTCTGTTTAGCAGTACCTACAACAACCAGGTCTCCAAGGTACTACATGCATTCACCGTATAAATGAATCTCCAGCAGAGTCTGTGCAAAACTCAACTTCTTTTAGCTGGTCCACTGGTTCAACCATAGTTGGGGCAGTTTCTGTGCAGCAACACCTGCACAAATATGACCCTCAAGAGCCATCAAGTCCTCACATTACAGTAAACCTTCTGTCTTTAATCTAAACCCCATCAGTCCAGATGATCCAGTTACATAAACTGTTGTTGGCCACAACAAACCAAAAAGGGCTTGGAGGAAAAAATAAAAGAACAATGGTTTCATGAGAACAATACATCTCCAGCTGGTGAGCACAGGGATGGATTGGTGCTCGTCTTGCAGCCAGTGGAAAAGGGAAAACTTAACTTTGAGGCAGAAGAATAGATTCAAATAAACAGCAGCTAAATCTGTGTAAATAATACAAGACTAAATCCTAAACACACCTGAAAATTAACAAGATGAAGATTTTGCCATGGACTCTGCAGTGTTATCAAAAACATATGGATACTACAAACTAGCAGTACATGCAAGCACTCTTAAGACTGAAAGTCCTTGAACATTAAGAATGGGGAAAAAATCCCCCAAACATGAGCTAAAGGACTGCTAGAAAAAAACCTGTACAGCTGCAATACTGGCTACAAGTGGTGTCACTAAGGTCTGAAAATGCAAGGTGTTTAAATTCTGAAAATAAAAAAGCAGTCTTGTTTAAAACAATGTATTTGTATTAATTTTAACGTCACTGCTTTTTCCTTGTGCACCACAGAGCCGCACGATTTCCATGTTTCCTTTTAAATCTGGCATTTTAGTACTTAAGTGCACTTCATATGTATCACATTCAAATGTATAAATTTTACCAATTCTAACGAGCAGCTGCCACTTAAGAAATAAGCAGTATTCACCATTAGGAGTGCACTTTAAGTGTCAGTGGTGCATACTGCTCAGTCGTGATTTGTTGTTTCTGTTGTTAAATGTCATTCATCATTGTTTTTGTAATGATGCTGAAGTTCAGATTTTTGGTATGTTTTCTGTTGGTTGGGGTACTCTACAACTTTAGGTGAAAACCATATAAATTAAAACACAGATTAAGACTAAAAGGCTGCAAAGACTTCAGTGACTAATTACACAGTGGATGAAAATGTATTTAAGCAACTGTTTATCCATCTCATCTATGAGGAACTTTATATTCATTTTCTATTAATGCAAATATAACTGATTTTAATTCATCCTCTTTTTGCTCAGTTTTCCACTTATCATTACAGGGGGAAAAGCGAGACAAGCATTTTCTCCATTTTGAAACATTTTCTGAAAATGAATTGCGTTGCCCAAGTGAAAGCTATAAAATATATCGTCATATACTGTATATGCCGGTGTCTTGTACTTTAACCTCATGGAAAATTCTACTGAAAATTCTACTCTATCTGTGCCTAAAACTTGTCTCCAAAAGCATCACGGCCCACTTCAAAAATCCAAAATCTTCTGTGGCCCATCCAAAAAAATTTTTTTAATCACAACTCTGATCATTCTACTGTGAAATATTTTTGTTTGTATCATTAACAGCTTTATTTGAAACACCTGAAAGCTATTGCAGAAAATGCAGAATGTGGTGTGTTTATTTAGAATACCATGGCTTTGTTATGCGCTTCTTTTCTTAATATTTAAAGGAAATGTAAAGTTTACAATTATTTACATTTTATAAATTGCCGCTATGTTTTGACTTAAAAACAATCTAATTTAAAACAACTAAAATATCACTTGTGAAATTAAAAATATTTTTGTAAGTCACTTTGGGTACAAAACGTTGGGAATTACTGATTGCCACTGAAACTTCACTATAAATTATAACGAATTGCCAAGTTTAGTTTAAACTATTTAGATATGCAACATAGCAGCAATCCATTGACAATTAGCCTTTAACACTAATCAAACAGACAACTGACAAAAGATAACATCGTACTTTCTGTGACTGCTGACAAACAAGTGCGACAGGCTTTCGCAGAGCAACTCCACTCACTATCTCCATAAGCTACACATACTGTACTCTGTCAAGGAAAAAAAAAATATGCAGAAAACTAAAGGAACAGCTTTCTTACCTGGAGAACAGGGAAGGCAGAGTGGAGCACCTATTCTGGTTAGCAAGCAGGTCCATTAAAAGGTCTGGTAGTTCATAAGATGGCAATGCAGTGTTTAGTTTGAATTCTGTTGTCCTACTGCAGTGGAAAATTATAAAACATTATCACAACTGGCAGACTCCCACCATTTCCTTATGCGTGGCTGAAAAAAAACATTTTTCCGACACAAGATCCAATGTGGAGGAAGTTAGTTTATGCTAAAGATGTCTAAAGCAAAGTAAACTCCAAACAGTAATGACCAGAATGCTTACATCACTTACATATTCCCGCTATAGAATTGCAAGAGACAATTTCTAGTTGTTTTTGTTTGAAAATCTCTGCAGGAAACTATATATATATATATATGTGTGTTTTTTATCATGTTGATGCTAGCTTTGTTAAATTAAGGTTGTAAATTCGCAATGTGACCACTAGAGGGCACATAACACATAAATAGCCTAGTAGTGACGTGCGATACCAATAATTTCCTTTCCGATCTCATACCAAGTCAAATTCAGGGTGGTATCGATGATATTGATACTTTGTACAAAACTTATTGTATTTTAAATTATAGCTTCAAAACATTACAGGACTTCAGGCTACTTTTTCTTATTGTTTCAATTATGAAGAAATCTTATATAGAAATAAAATCCTGAAGTTGTGTGTTAATTGATGCTATTTGAACATGTATATCTTGTAATTTAACATGTATATACTTGCCTAGACGTTTCAACAAAAACATTCAACATTCACACTTTCCCTCATTCACAGTAGTGCCACACTACAAATTGTGGTACGATCCAATACCAAGTAAATACAGAGCCAGTATTGACGATATCAGTACGAATTGGTTATTCAGGCAGCTAATGGGGGAAGAGTAGTGTGCCATGATTTATAAGATGAATTCTCAATTTGCAAATTCTGAACAAATTTTAACCACCATATATCACTGTGATTGTTACTTTCCACAATCATTAGTTAACACAACAAAACACAACTTTCAGCTTTTTGTGTGTTTTGAAACTGGAATGTAAATTTTTCTGTCTCTAAAGACCACAAAAGGTTTGGAGATTTTTCATAATGCATGTTTGAGGTTTATTTTTTCCAAAGAAATAATTAACACAGTTCAGTGGGCTACATACTGAACTTGAAGGATAAAAGCAAAGTATCGGTTCAATTGTGCTTGTATCGATCCAATACCAATACTAGTGTTGGTAGCGATAATATTTGGATCGATCCGCCCACCTCTACTTAAAAGTAATTCCGACTTCCAGTCGTGTCTATCTATAGAAGAAAACATCCATAGTGCAGTGTGAGGTGATTTAGACCCTAAGAAGTAAAACGTCCCTTCAAATCCCAGAAGAGTGCTGCACGAAAGCCTGTAAAAATGTTTTCAATAATATGTGCAGATCACAGTTGTATAATTCATAGTTCTTTAAGGCTTTTACACTAGTGTGAAATGATTTGCATACTGCTGCATTATAGCATTTGAATATTAATAATATATTTTTAAAAAGCATTTCCTGTTGCAAATTATACTATTTCAGTATCATTTATTTATTTGCAACAATATGTTATCAACATGCATTTAAACTGCATGACCCACGTGACCCCCAAATTTTCAGGGGCTCTGGTTATCAGGGTGTCTGGCCACTAAGTATCAGGCTAGTATATGTAGCAATCACTTATTTTAGGTATGTGACCCCTCCTGGTCACTTTGTGGAACTGCAGCATTAACCAATATAGTGCCAGAGTAGGCATACATTTAATCTTCTGGCAAATTACAGTAACTAAATAGAAACAAACGAAACAACGTTTTATTGCCGATGTTGAAAAAATCTCTCCTTTTGCAGAGGACAGCATTGTACCTTTTTAAGTAGCATTCCCATAGTTTGAGGAAACCTGGGATTTGAAAACACTGAGGAAGTGCAGATGAGGTAGCTTGTGGTTAAAAGATGCTTTTAAAAACAAAAAAAATCCACATTCCAGTCAAAATAAAATAAATATTTGTTTCATATATAATAGCTGCCATTAGCTGCCAAATGTTGTGGTGGGATGCAAAATAATCAGATTAAATGATTAAATGTTAAATTCTTGCTGCTCCTACGACATGACACCAGAGAAATGTTGACATGATGGATTTCTTTAAACAAGGTTTGCTTTTTTGTGCTCTGCTTAATTTCATATAAAAGGCCCCTAAAAATAAATGAGAGGTGGTGTAATACGAAGCAGGAGAAAATGCAGTGACCTCAATCAAGGCCAATTTCTTATTTTGCAGTTTTAAAGAGAGTAATCTGGATTTTAAGCGCATTGAGCCAGCTGTTGTTGTGAATAAATATAATGGAAGTGAACTGAATGGAATTTGAACTAAAATTGTGTGGCTTGATCCTTTGCCTTCTTCTTCATCGTCTTCTTTCGGCTGCTCCCTTTTGGGTCTCCAGAACAAATCATCTTCCTTCTTCCTCCATCTCATCCTATTCCTAGCATCCTCTTCTGTCACACCAACACTCAACATGTCCTCCTTTATTGCATCCATAAATCTTCTCTGTGGTCTTCCTCTTTTGAATGGCTTTAACATCTTCAGTATCCTTTGCATATCCACTATTCCTCTTCTGCGAATGTCCAAACATCTCCGCACAATTTTATTGAATTTGGCTTGGTAGCTTTGGCCTTGGAGGAGGAATTTTAGTTTTTCCTTACATCATATAAGTAAACTTGTACAGTTAAATTGCTCCAGGTGGGAGGTTTCCATTAAAACAGGGACTGTTGTGTTTAATAATTGCCTCCTTGTCTTTCGATTCAAGGCCTGATTCGTCTGCAAGAGTTGATCAAAGCTCCATCCAGATACAGCATTAAAATAAAGATCCGGCAGCTGCCCACAGGAAGTAAAGATGCCCGTCCCCTGCTGAAGGAAATGAAGAAAGGGAAGGAGTTCTATGTCATCTTTGACTGCTCTTACCAAACATCAGCTGATGTTCTCAAGCAGGTGAATAACATGCACTTCTGCCAGTTTGTGGGCCACTGAGGGTTCAGCCACACGCCACATAAAGTGAAAATTTGATCAGATATCCAATGTGGATTTTCTTTCTTCAATGGAAAAAAAAGCCTCTAAATCTCTTTTCTGAATTGCTGTTGGTTTAATATTCACTACGTGCAAGATTAGTGCACTTCTATCCCCTTCAGAAATCCTGTGTTCATTACCAAATCCAAGCAGAGCCTATTTCTGGGCCAGACGTACACATTTAGAACCAACAGCTGCTCGGAAGATTAATTGAAGACACTTCACTAACAGGAGAAAATTGTGACATATACTCACTCGCACAGTTGTTAATGTGAGCCAAAGAAATATGAGACAATTCAGGAAATGGATGGAATAAATAATTTGCCGCTCGCTGTGGTTGTGGGTATGGTTGGTTGGTCTTAGGCGGAAGAGAAGATTATTTATTGTGGCTGGAACAAACCTCCACTGTACCGTTAAACACTTTCTCCCTGTTTAGATTCTGTCCATGGGAATGATGACTGAATATTACCACTTTTTCTTCACCACACTGGTAAGAGACTAATCATTTACAAAAAAAACCTCTTTCTGATTATAATAACTGTGACTCTTGAAACTTGACAGATAGGTATATTGCTATGATGCCACATAACTACACACTGCTGGCCTGCCTTAAGTCTGTTTTTATGCTACACTACTGAGTTATGCTGATGAGCCTGCACATCTGTGGTTTGTTTTATAATAAGGGTGCTGGGTGCCCTTGGCATAATTCCATGTTATTAGCTTGTACTCATGTTGTTCCACTGTTTTAATTAAGTGTCGGTTTACCATTTCTCTTCAGTTAACGTCTATATCTTGGTCTTATATTGACATTAGGAGTGAAAGTCAGTAGAGGGAAGACAGAATGTGTTTAATTGACAGACAGGCAGGTTTAACAGCTAAGATGCAAGGAGTAAATATGGAGGAGGAGTAGAAACACCTGGGTCAACCATCCAAAGTTCCTGACAGTGCGCAGGGAAGATTAAGAGGAGCGTGCAGGCAGGGTGGAGACAGGTTTTGTCAGTGATCTGTGACAGAAGGACAGCAGGAAGAGTGAAAGGGAAGGTTCACAAGATGGTAGTGAGAACTGCTAAGATGTATTTGGACATTGACGCACTGTTGAAGATGTTAAGATTTTCATTGGCAGTGATGAGGATGGACAAGACAAGTGATTACATCAGAGGGACAGCTCAAGTCGAGCAGTTTGAAGACGCAAGGCTGAGATGGTTTCGGACATGTGCAGAGTAGGGATAGTAGATATATTGGACACAGGATGTAGAAGATGGAGCTGCCAGGCATAAGAGGAAGACCACAAAGAAGGTTAATGGATGTAGTGATGGAGGACATGCAGAGGGTTGGTGTGACAGAGAGGGATGCTGGGGACAGGCAGAGATGGAGGCAGATGATCACCGCCGAAAGAAGAAGATTATGTCATTTCACATCAATCCCCTTAGGACCTGTTTGCCCTTGATTTGGAGCCGTACCGCTATAGCGGGGTCAACATGACGGGGTTCAGATTGCTAAACATAGACAATCCTCATGTGGCTTCGGTGGTCGAGAGATGGGCCATGGAGCGACTGCAGGCACCCTCCAAAGCTGAGACTGGAATGATGGAGGGGATGATGACAGTAAGCCTAGTTTTACCTAATGCTTTCTGTATTATCGATAGAAACTTCCAAATCAGCACATGAAATAGACATTTTGTTAACTTTGTCTTCAGATACGATCAAGTAACAATGTAATAAAAAGCCAGACATGTAAATGTACCTACTCAAGCTTTATTTGGAACACTGCATGAGATCTTTAAAACGTTTTCACTAGCTCTCATTGCATACACTTGGGTCAAAATACAGAAATTTTATAAATTTTGTAAAACTGCTGCTGTACCTTTGAGTGTGCTTGCAGAAATGAAATGCTGCTGTTTATGTACATAGACAGCCCTGGTGTGATAACTGGATGACATGTGATTTGCAGTCCCCAGTAACAGAGGATGATGGCCACATTTCTCTTTCAGACCGAAGCAGCTCTGATGTACGACGCCGTCTACATGGTGGCTGCTGCCTCACAACGCACCTCTCAGATCACCGTGAGCTCCCTTCAGTGCCACCGACACAAACCCTGGCGCTTTGGATCACGCTTCATGAGCATGCTCAAAGATGTGAGTCTGCCTAATGAATGTGTGACACCGGCGCTCCATCCATTCATCTGTCCTTTTCATAGCCCGCTGCCTCTGTGTCACTTGCTTTTGTGCAAGAGCAGAAACAATAGAGTTAGGAGATTAGATCTGGCGAATGAGCAACGAGCGTGTGATGATTATATTGAAAATAATTTTTTCAAGACATGGTGATTGACGTCATGCATCACATGTTGGTAGTCTCGTAAAGATTAGAGCTGTCCATGGAGAAATGCTGCTCCTTGTGTGAATGTTTATGAAAGCAGGTAAAGACAATGTAGATTTGAGACAGCTCCTCATGAGCTAATAATAATGCTAAAACTGAAGACTCGTGCTAAGGATCATGTAGCATGCTTCTTGCTCTGTTGAACACGAAAAATATTTCTGCACAAGTTGTTGATCTAACAGCAGATTAAACAGAAACAGAATGAGACAAACACTCAGCAAAGCCTGACAGGTTGAAAAAAAAAAACACGCTGCCTGCTGTGGAAGCAGACTTTTTCATCTGTGTCAAGATATATTCATCTCACTTTAATAAGCTTTCTTGTTATTGCACTCTCTAATTAGATGTTTCTTTAACCAATGAGCTCTTCTTGTTGTAAGTGAGGACAGAATATTGACAGAAACAAGCCAAGCCAAATAACCCAGACAGCAGAGTGTAAATGAATGAGACTTTTAGCTGTATGGTCTTTAAAGATATTGTCTGTAATTAGACTTGAGAAAAGTATTTTTACATAAAAACAAAGCGATGAAAAATGTACTTTTCTTGTCGACTGATGACTGCCACTGTAATATTCTTTCTTCTACACATCCTAAAATGAACATTGTTGTTTTAGTACAGTGGTTAAATTTAAAAGTGCCATTCCAGTGCTTTCTTTTTACTGTTCTCCCATTTACAGCATATTATGCATACAACACACTACCAGCCAATATTTTACTGCCATACTATATAGATTTTCAATTTACTGGTAAATCTTAGCTACCAGGGTCCTCGGCTATGGTTGTGAACCTGGGTAAGCGGTTGAAAGAATAAGACTGGAGATACAAGTGACAGAACTGAGCTCCCTCTGAAGGGTGTCTGGCTCATCCTTGAAGGTAGTTTAAGGACCTTGATCATTTGGGAAGTACTCGGAGTAAAGCTGCTCTCTTCTTACAAAAGAGAGAGTGGAGGTAATTCAGGAATTGTACGCATCCTAAGCAAGGGGTTCTGGGCATATCCAACCAAAAATGACGCAGGGAAGATCCAGGACATGCTGGAGAGATTACGTTTCCCAGCTGACCTGGGAAAACCTGGGAAGGAGAGGGGAATATACAGGTTGTGGATGGGGAAAAGACGGTCTGGGCATTAGGCTTGATGGCTGGGTGAATGAATTGATAGAAACTTAGCAGAAAAAGTAAGGAAATTTGTGCTGGCAAAAAAGCCTATATGATTGGATAAAGAAGATTTGGCAAGTTTTTCATGCTCAGCTCTGCTGCTCAACCCACAAATGCATTTTCCTTACAAATGTGGCACCATTTATTGCCAGGAAGCGATGTTACAACAAAGAAATAATCGACCGAACATAAATGTCCTTATTTTTTGTACTAAGTTTAGCTTTTAAATTAGTCATTAATGGAAACACTTAGCAAATCCACAACATACGATCTCACAGGGAACTGAGGGAAGCTGGTTGGCAAATACTGTACATCTATCATATTTTGCTCATAAGTCTCATCTTATTATCAAACATAAGTTCTGCACTGCAAAGTAGTATACTGACTATGTGTCTGGTGGAGCTGACAGAAGTGTGCTTATCTGGAGAAAGCTTAAACTGAGTATTTGGAATATTCAAAAGAAATGATGTCTTCAGCTTACAATAGACCTGCCATTATGCCTCTCCTTATTCCTGTTACTGCTTGTATGAGAGGCACTCTGATTTAGTCCATGATGCATTACCACACAATAATTATGTAACTCTAACTGTAATCAAACCAGACGTGATGTATGCGGAGCTGAATCATTTATAGCAGGTCATTTCCAAGCTTCTACAAGACAAATTGGATACCTTAAAGAAACGAGTAGCTGCTTGAATGGTGAAAAACACATTCACAAATAAACACACCATTTAAAAAGTTAACATGTGTACATGTCGATATAAAAGTTTAATGGCGGAAAAGTTTAACATATGTAGAAAATATTAGTATGGTCCTTTCAGACTGTATTCTAAATTAAGAACTATAACTTAACAGCATTAGCTGATGGGCCCTTGAGCAAGACACTAAGTGCTGTTCAGTAGCTCAGCCTACACTCTGCTCTTGTGGGGGTGGAAAGGTAAACTGACAAATCTGCCTGCAAGACTTGGTGCTGTGCCACACATTTAACAGGGAAAGTTAAGTTTTATGAAGAACTAACTGTTCAAGAATATTAGGGGCACTTTGAACGCATACAGATGAATGTGCTTGGATCGGATTTTAGATACAGTATTAATGTGGAAAAAAGAAAATATTGTTTTTTCTCACCGTTTCCTCTCATGTGGTCATGGGTTTTTAATGGCGGCAGTATCGTTATCTTACAAATATAAAAAGTGGGTCCACTTCTTGGACAAAGAGTGGTTTTGCCTCTCTATACCACCATAGATTTTAAATCAGTTAAACAACTGTGATTAGAGCCAAGATTTTCCACTTTAATTCAGAGGGTTTTGATAAAAGTTTTGCAGAATTAGAAACATTTTCATACACAGTTTCAGAGGCTTAAAATACTTTGGACAATTGACCAACAACCAGTTTCAAGGTTAGGTGAGGCCCGTTCCGTTGTTCTTTCAAGACAAAGGCTGCAAACTGCTGGTTACACTCAAGAACATGAGTGTAACCAGTAAACATCTAAAAGAATCTTCACAGAAAAATATCTGGACTGATGAATCCAAGATTAACTTGTACCAGGAAGGATGATGGGAAAAATATGGAGATATGGTAGAGGCAAGTGGAACCAGGCCAGCAGTGTTTATTGATGATGTGATTGAAGTATCATGGGCTATATTCTCTGCTCAGATTCAGACACCATGCGGTGTAGGCTTAAGATGGTCACTGACTACAAAGGGTTTTCATTCAAGGATTAAAAACAGTCCTAATATTTAAATATATGTAACTATATATATATATTTATAGATAGGAGTACTATCTATAAAAATGGCTGTATTTCATAAACAGTAGATACAATATGTTTGTTAAACCCCTTCAATTACTTTTTGTCTCTTTAGTTTAAACTACAAAAAAATTGTCCAACAAAGTATAGACCTAACTGCATATAAACTGCAGTCGTGGAAACACATTGTCAAGAGAGAGAAAATCTGATTGGTGAGGATTTAAAAAGGGGAATTAATCAAAAGAATAAATCTGGACTGAAGGGTCAACAGATCTCAAAGATGTGAGTGTCGACACTGTGGAAAGCAGACATATCAAAGGGCAGTTTCATTGTGAAACTGATGTTTCTCATGATGTGATCAAGTTTAATATGAACTCTTACGTTTATGTGTGATTCCTGACATGGAATACTATCCTCTGCAAAATCAATTTCATCATACTGCTTCAGAATGATGACATTGGATTCCATTTTTTCTTAATCTTGTTTTGTTTATTGCTCGTTGCGTGTACTAATGGCTCAAGATAAATTTGCTTTGGTTCCAGTCGAATTAATGGAATATTTTTCACTTCAAAGTCAAAGGCTCACTGTTGTTTTGCATCTCTAAATTCACCTTTATGCTATTTCTAGCAGAATAGATTTTAGTGGAATATTTTGAAGTATATAATACTAGCATGACACTGTATTTCTTAAAATCTGTATATATATGCTATAAAAACTTTTTGACACATTTTTTGCTGGACGGCATGTCCTCGGTGTCACTCCAATACCATAATGCCTTGCTCTTAGAGTAAACAAACATTAAGTTGAACCAATTCTTTAAAAATACACAAACCACACTGTTCATTACATTTAAATGTAATGTAATGTTGTCATTTAGAAATCTGGCTTTGTTTTACATTTGGATCAAAACACACTGGTACTGTGAGAAAGTCCTGCACCACCCCTCATTTCTGTATATTTTGCCTCCAAGCAGCCAGGCTTTGTTATCAAGTGCTCTTGATGAACAATAGTTCTCCAGGCTTTTTCTTCAACATTTTTGTTTCAGCATTGGCTGCTTTTTTATTCATTTTCTTTCTGGTCTTTGTACCTTTGCATGTTTGTTTGTTTTTAAGTCACCTGTGAATCTTTTAAGCCTAACAAGGATATTGTATACATAATTTTCCAATTACCATTTCTTTAGATGAATCTGTGAAAAATATCAAATGATAACACAGTGCGTAAAGATAATGATAATGATTCCTGTGCATTTGAATGTGCTTCAAGAAGCCTTGAGAACTATTCCCAAAGACTACAAAGTAGAGCTAGTGTAAGTAAAAAGCTTGCCAAACAGACTTCAGGTTGTGATGAAGACTAAAGGTGGTCCAACCAAAACACTGAGTTTCAAGCTTGTTAAAGCTGTGCAGACACCGAGTTTGTACACATTTCAATAATGTGCTGCACTTGTTTCCCATTTTCCTAGCAAATATAAAGAATCAAACGTGAGTCAAGACTTTTGCACAGTACTGTACAAGCATTTTATTTGTCAACTGACAATAATTATCATTTTTTCCAGCTTTACAGTTAGAATGTCATAGACGTCATAGGAATGTACTGAAAAGGTCTATTGATGTTTCGTTGTTGCATCTTTCCATAAAGAAATTGACTTCTTAGCATTCTCTGTCAGTGCAGATATAAAGCTACTTTCTCTGTGCTCTCTGTAATAGATTTAACCCGACTGTAATTCAACTGAGCTAACTTCATTATCAACTGATTTCAAATATATCTGAGCGCTGCTGCCCACCCGCTGCTCTCCTCACAGACAGAGGGCATGCCTGCCTGCTCCATTTACATCAGCATCCCCTGTGTTACAGCCTCGGAGACATTTAATATTTCCATTGAGAATCTAGCCAATGCAAAATCGTCCATTGTGAGCCAAGTCAGTCTTCTTTGCTTAATGAAGTACTCATCAATTATTCATGTTTAAAAGCTGTTTTCATTTTTTCCAGGCTCCTGCTTTGTTTTGCATTGATATGATGTAAAAAAGGAAGAAAAAAAAAAAAGGAAACAAACCTGAGGGGGTCTTTGCTTGTGTTTTCTGAAACAGGCACAGTGGAACGGCTTGACAGGACAAATAATAATAAACAAGACAGACGGTCTGAGGAAAGAATTTGATTTAGATGTCATCAGCCTGAAGGAGGACGGCTTGGAGAAGGTGAAGTGTCTAACCCATGTTTATACCGTTAATACATGTTACTGTTATTCTGTTAATACACATTAAAGCAGAGCTGAGTATCATTAATGAGTATAGACAAATAGAGCTGTTAATTGCATTTTCCCACAAATATGCAAAAAGATGACTTGTCTTTAAACCAATGTATAGACCAATTTAATTAAGACTACATAAATCTTGAAATGTGCTGTCTTAATTATGCATTTAAAAAGGAACTTTTTGAACTGTTTTGACACACTGCTCTCTCAAAATAACTTGTAGCTGTCTCTTCAAGCTTGCAAGTGTGTGCATGTTCCTTTAATCACAGTGACAATGCTACTCTCAATTTTGACAGGTCATTAAGAAGCTGTTACCTGTTCATGCTATCATCACTGCAAAGACTTTAAACCTCGGTTAACACAGTTGGGTGTAAAAACTGCTAACAGAGGAATTATTCCCCCTTCTGTGATCTGTGATTAAAATGCTTTCTCTTTATTATTTTTGCAAGACAAACACGGGCAACAACCGCTTGAATAAAGTGTGGAAAAAGGTCTGTACTTTAGCTGCCACAGCACACTAAAGGAATATTGACACCTACTAATTTACTATACCTTTGTGACGTTACCCCTTTTCATTAAAAAATAAAAAGGTTCAGGTACTGGTGGTTCTTAGAAATGGTGTACATTTCTCTACTGGCATTTCGAGTTTATAACATTTTGTGAGCCTTTCCTTTTTTTCCCCCTATGTCTGTGTTTTTCATATTAACTTTTCTACTTGTTACTGCTTTCTTTTCCTGTCTTTACCTTCTTTTCCTCAATTGTGTGAAGGTTACCCAGGTAGCAACTATTTAAAGTCCAGCCACTGTGGTTATTTGGATATCTTATTTGTTACAGATTGGTGTGTGGAACTCCCAAACAGGCCTTAATTTAACAGAAACTAACAAGGATTCATCCACAAATGTAACAGACTCAATGGCCAATAGGACCCTTATTGTCACTACTATTCTGGTATGAACAGACATAAAATCATTGCTAGTGAGCATTTGAATTCAAATGTATTTGTATTATATAATCCACTGAAACCTTTCTGTCTTTCACCAGGAAAATCCTTATGTCATGTATAAGAAATCTGACAAGCCGCTTTATGGAAATGACCGCTTTGAGGGTTACTGTCTCGACCTGCTCAAAGAGCTCTCTAACATTTTGGGCTTCTCTTATGAAGTAAAGTTGGTGTCAGATGGCAAATATGGAGCTCAGAATGACAAAGGGGAGTGGAATGGCATGGTGCGGGAACTCATTGATCATGTGAGTACTGATCAGTCAGTCTTAATGTAAGAGAGAAGACGTTCAAAGCGTCACAGTGTCTGCAGCTGACGGTGATTTTTGCTCTTTACCAGGTGGCTGACCTTGCTGTGGCCCCTCTCACTATCACATATGTCAGGGAAAAAGTTATTGATTTCTCGAAGCCATTCATGACGCTGGGAATCAGCATCCTCTACCACAAACCCAACGGCACAAATCCAGGAGTCTTCTCCTTCCTTAACCCGCTCTCTCCTGATATCTGGATGTACGTGTTGTTGGCATGCCTTGGTGTCAGCTGTGTGCTTTTTGTTATTGCCAGGTAAACGAAAAAAAGTGGTATTTGATGTGAACTTATTATAGTTGCTTTTACTTTTAAGCAACACTGTTTATGTAAAGGCAAAATTTCAGTTTAACATTTTGACTTAAGTCACTTATTACTTTTAACTGATGATTTTTTTTTCATTCATAACCTTTAGGTTTACTCCTTATGAGTGGTACAACCCTCACCCCTGCAACCCAGACTCGGATGTGGTTGAAAACAATTTCACTCTAATAAACAGTGTCTGGTTTGGAGTCGGCGCACTTATGCAGCAAGGTATCCCTTTATTATCTTTTTATGCAGGCAGAAGTTTTCCTTTGGTAAAGCACATTTAATCCTTCCTTTTAAGCATTCATTTAATTTCAAGTAAGTAAGTATTCAATTTAATTATGAATCAATAATGCGACTTGTAATCTTATCTGATAGGATCTGAACTGATGCCTAAGGCTCTCTCTACAAGGATAGTTGGTGGGATATGGTGGTTCTTTACCCTGATCATTATCTCTTCATATACTGCCAACTTGGCCGCCTTCCTCACAGTGGAAAGAATGGACTCGCCAATTGACTCCGCTGATGATTTAGCCAAGCAAACCAAAATAGAGTACGGTGCCGTAAGAGATGGCTCCACCATGACCTTTTTTAAGGTAACCGTCTTTTTGTTTTACAGGACAATTGTAGGGGAGGAATGGAAATAAGAATACTGCTTTTAATTTTAATTAGCCTGGCAAGTTTTACCCTTGAGCCACCAGTCTTCAGTCATGTGCAGCCTGACTGGCTGGCATAAAATTGATTTGGTTTGGAAAAAGAGGAGGGTTAAAGGTTAGTGTCTTGGAAATTTCCCCGTGTATTAGTTTAACAAGAACCTGTGGGAGACTGTTCCATAAAGATTTGACGGATTTATTATTTTGCCTGCAGCAGACCGAGCAGTTTATCTAAATCTATGGTGAAAAGTGAATGAACTTGAAGAGATTTGTGCTCTGATGCACAGCAGGCGATGGCACCAGTCAACAGATACCCTGCAAATATGGTTTCATTTTAAATATGAGAAGCAGGCGCCAAGGGTGTGGAAAGGTGTAAAGATGCTTTCTTTTGTCTAAAAATGCCGTTTTGGTGCTTGTAGATTTGACCGTGGTTTTAATAATCCACAAATGTTGATTTTGATTCAACAGAAATCGAAAATCTCTACTTATGAGAAAATGTGGGCTTTCATGAGCAGCAGGAAAAACACAGCATTAGTGAAAAACAACCGTGAAGGGATTCAAAGAGTCCTCACTACAGATTATGCCCTCTTGATGGAGTCGACCAGCATCGAGTACATCAGCCAGCGCAACTGCAACCTCACACAGATCGGAGGCTTGATAGACTCAAAGGGCTATGGTGTTGGAACCCCAATTGGTAAGAGTGATCACTATATAATCATTTCAGCAATAACCATTAATTACCATGCTCCCTCTCAGAAACCTAAACATTACGTTACTGTAATTCCTGCTATAGGCTCCCCTTACCGAGACAAGGTCACCATTGCAATCCTGCAGCTTCAAGAAGAAGGGAAGCTGCACATGATGAAGGAGAAGTGGTGGAGAGGGAATGGCTGCCCAGAAGAGGATAGCAAAGAGGCTAGTGCCCTGGGCGTGGAGAACATAGGGGGAATCTTTATTGTATTGGCAGCTGGACTAGTCCTCTCAGTTTTTGTAGCAATTGGAGAGTTTATTTACAAATCCAGAAAAAACTTGGACATCGAGGAGGTGAGCGTCGGCCAGTGCGAATGGCACAACAAGTATTAACAAAAACTGCTATGACCATACTACACGTTTGTGTTGTCGTTCCAGGACTACAGCAATCACTAGGCCAATAAAAACTGAAGTCTGAATGTGTCGAACTGCATTGTTACAATCAAAACAAGTTTTTAAGGCAAAGTTTTGTGTTTTCAGTAGTTTTTATGTAGAGCACACAAACATTTTAGTCTCGATTGGAAGAATAGGTTAGAAACCCTTTTTATGATGATGACAGATTGTTGTTGACTTCTGACATCGTGACTCTTGACCATCTTGGCCTTGCTCTTTGTTTTTGTTTTTTTTAAACATTACTCCGTGTGAGAGAAATGTCATTTTCATGGTGTTATGGGTAAGTAATGGTAAGTGGTATCTTTCCAGTAATGACTGATTCTCTTATGACACGTTTGTCATTTTCATATTTACAGCGCACGGGAACTTTGACACATTTACAAACTTGTTGATTTATTTGACAGTTTATGAGTGAGTACTCCCTCAACATCTTATTCATCAAGTTGCTTAATGTCTGTACTTTTTTTTGTATCATATGAAGTTTATGAAATGCATGGATACGTTTTGTCATGTTGGAGCTGTTTCAAAATGACTAAAAATATGTGAGAACATTACATCCTTTAACCTTTAACTTTTTGATTGTTTTGCTTTTGATCCTGGGCCTTCACTGGATCGGGCCTCAACTTACACGCACTTGAGGTCGCATTTAGAAGACTAAAGCCTTGTAACTCTAATATGACTTTTATATTGCAGCCGTCTCCCTTTCTCACATTCAGTTGTGATGTTTTTCAGTCTGTCTTTTCTGAGAAACGGCTTTCGTGAGACACATTTACTCACGTTATCCGAGAAAAGAGGTGATGCGATTACTGACCTTGGGTTTTTTGGCTTTTGGGTTTGAACTGCACTATTTTAAAAAAAAGCCACTGTATTACACACAAACACACACACAACTATATTTACAAAAGTTAAATCCTTGGCACACATATAAGCTGTTGGTATTTTTAGTACAGACTAACAAACTATTCTGTATTTCCAAGTCACTTCTCCCACCTTCACCATGGATATAAAGTCGTGTATTAAATTGTGCATCTAAAACCATTAGTTCAAATGGATTACAAATAAAATGTAAAGGATAGAGATGTAACCTCAGCATTCAAGGATAAAATGGGTTTGATGACACATCCTACAGTCCATTCATCCCTGATTCACCTTTCTCTTTGCCTACCTGTTTCCCCTCAATAAGGCATAGCTTTTAAAATAAAATCCTCATCCTCATCATTATAAAGATCAACATTAAACATTCCTGGTTTAAAATTGGCCGGGCCTTGTCACACATATTTGAAAATCCTGCAAATGTAAGGAAAATATTTTGGGTGAAAGTCTGATACTGTATCCTGCTTGTTTTGTCTATGCATGCAGGATTAGTGTCACATTTCAGATGATGGAACAGGAATAAGTGTAGCTATGACTAAAGACTGTTAAATTACTCATTAGCTCAGTTTAGACTTGGACTGTTTACAATGTCTATCGAGTGCCACAACACTTAAGATGATTGCAGTTTCTGGCATTCCTGAACATTAGTGATGTACTTTATTGTACCTTAGGTACCTAAATATTGAATACTTAACCAAAATATTCATAAAGAATCAAATATTAAATATTACAAATTTGCCAGTCTGCTTGTATGTTTATAGTTTTTTGTATGTGCTGAAGAAAAGTTTTTAATATCTAAAAAATTAGACATGAACTGCACGTGGCCACAATTTAAATGTATAGTATTTACACAGTGGTATTTTTGCATAAAGAACACAGCTTATAATTTTTGTCACGAAGCTATAAAGAGTTGTTTCAACAGCTGAATGTTTTCAATGCTAACATATAAGACATGGGTATATCTTGTTATTATCATCTTTATGTCAGAGTAAAGTCGAGCACAGCGTAGGCAGGATTAAAGAATACACTCCTCTGTCATCCAAAAAGACTTTTGGAAAACAAAACAAAAAACAGTTGCTTATCAATGTATTTTTTTCAGCCTTTCCCAAATATAAATATAGTCCTACAGATATGATATTTGCTTTGGGAGCGTTGATGGAAGAGCATAGAGAGAGTCAAAAGGGGTTGCACTGTGTCTTTGTGGCTCTAGAGAAAGCATATGATGGGGTGCGAAGTGAGGCACGAGGACAGGGTGAGGTGTGCATTTGGAGGGACAGATGTGTTTAAGGTGGGGAGGGGATTATATCGTGGGTCGGCGCTGAGCTTTTTCTTCTTTGCAGTGATGACGAACTCTCTGTTCAGAATGTTTTTGATGACTGAAAGAGAAAATTTAACATGAAAAATAATATAAATGTTAATTCTGTCATTGAGATCGGTGTACGTTTTTACCGTTACTTAAAATACACCTTAGAAATGTGTTCTATATTGTTAAAAGATCTGAAATGGATGAAAAACCTACTCTGTTTGTCTTTGTTCAAAGGTTAATGGGTTCCTTTAAAGCTTTGTGGGCTTTTTTCTTAAGCTGAAAAAAAAAAAAGATTCTCTGTCGAATCTCTCACAACAGTGGTGTTAATTAAAAACCAGTGTACTTGGCAGAATTGAAGGCATCATTTCTTTGCTTTCCTCCTTGTCTTTTGACACTGATAAATTCAAACAATTTCCCCATGACTAGTAAAATAATATACTCTGGTACAGTATGGTGAGATTTTGTCCTCAAATACCCTTTCTTGTGCTTATAGTGTTCTAAATTCAACACAGGGAGGATTGTTAGGATGAGAAACAAGTGTGAGTGTAATCTGTCACTGTACAACCAGCTGTTGATCTGAAGGTTGCAGATCAGGGTGCTGCCTAGCTGGGGCCAGCATGTCCCCTTGTTCCTCTCATTTCTCTGTGAGATTACAGTATTATGGTCCTCATTCATATAATCCTGTCAATGGGATACAGCCCCTTTCTCTGCACTACCCCCAAAATGAAGTTCAGCACTTCAGCATGTAATCAGTTAGGAGACAGTAGGTTATGAGACTTATGTGGTGCTGCAAGAAGGTCACAGACCTTATGCAGGGATTAATTATACAAGTATTGTGTCTTTCTCCAGGGTTTAAACTAGAGAATATTGGTATATAGATCTTCTCTCATTAGTTTTGCATTCACAGTGTTTCTATTTTGGAAACACCATTGGAGATGCTAATTGACATTTCAGGATATTAACTGCTATTTACTGGGTTTCAGACCGATATTGTAATAAGGATCTTGGGTCATGTTGGTGTGCTATTCCAAAATTGAATTGTCAACTTTTCTTCAGCGCTTTGTTGTGTTTATCTCACAAGGAGAATGGATAAGAAGTGTCATATTTACAATCATAATCATGCATTCGAGCTTAAAATATTGGTGCCTGCTACCTTCTACATATTATTTGCATCTGTGCCATAAAAAGAAACTCTCTGCAGTCCTACACTGAGCAATGTCATTGTTATTAGCATATATGTTCTCCTTTAGCAATGTTGTGAGCAAGCTAACTTCCAGATGCTTTAATTTCTAATCTTGTTTTTTTCCCCTTTCCCTCCTGTTTCCTAATCCTTGCTCCCCGAGTGTAGTACGACTCCACCGTCAAGAGGATAATGACTTGAATCATTGCATAAAAGGGACGTAAACGTTTTATGGAAATATAATCATGTATTGAGTGACAATAAAAAATAAAGGATTTATGATTACATCGACAATAAGCTGAGCCAATTCAAGCTGTCACTTTGATTTAAAAAATAAATGACCCAAATAAGAACAAAGAAAATGAGACAGTGAAGAAAAACAACAAACAACACCAAAGAAAAGTCTGAATGCGGATTTCAGGGACAAAAAAAAGGAAATATAGGCTATGACACAGAATATGTATCAAGACAGATACTGAGGTCAAGAGGGCTTTGCATTAATCTCACATTATGACAGTTTAAGGTTTTGGTATTCTGATGAATTCCAGGATTGGGCTTTAACTGCTTTCATTTTGTTTGCTGGTCTTTAATCTTCTAACCCTGCGTTCTTAATCAGAACTCAGAGCAGGTTTTTAATCTCGCATGAATGAGGCCGCGGATTATGGGCCTCTGACCTTGCCATGCCTCGCAGCTGCTTCCTCCTCAAATCAAGTCTTTCGTCCTGTGTAGCTTGCAAAAGAGGGATCATCTTAGTCTTGCACTACAATGCTGTAAATTCTGAACCGTATATAAAAGACAAACACTGTGGAACAAGTGTTTTAAGATGGAAATTTGTAAATAGGTGCTTGTAGTGCTTTTTTTGAAGGTGATATTCACGCTGACACGCATCAAATTGAAGATTTGGTACAGATGCATCGTTCCAGCGGACAGAGATCATATCTGATGTCTGCAGTATTATAATGATCTAATCATTTTGCTTTTTAGATGGAAAACCAGTTGTCGTGCTCGGAGTGACATCTCTTTGTCAGGGTGTGAGGTTACTTTTCAAAAACAGGTTCCAGTTTTATGAGTTGCTCCATGGCTGCTGGTGTAATTACCACTTTAACCTTGAGGATTCTGTTCTGAGGAAAACAAAATGAGATTGCTTTTTCTTTCATTGTCCCCAAGTGCTACCGTAGTTATTTCAAAGGACACAAAATAATAATTCACATCAGAAGACAAAAACATCTTGACAAAATTGCTTCTTCAACTTTACAAGACCTTCTTAAAGTGGTGTTTCTGTTCTGTACTGGTTTGTTTGATCTATGATCCTCTCCAGTCTGCAATGAAAGAGGAGCACTCTGACCAGTGTCGGATCAGATTGTTGCTTTGTTAAGCCCCTAAAATTTAAACCTTAACAAATGCACAACCCAATTTTCTTTTGGCAGCCTGGAACACGAACAGTAAAATGAATTACTAGTCATTGCTACTGATTGCTAAATGTTACTGCTCACAGATGGATCCTTGAGGAGGTTGTGCCACTGCAATAACTTTTAACTAAATGTTTAAAAAGAGTGAGAGAGGAAATAATAGTAAAAGAAGGGCAATTAGTAACAAACAATAAGGTTAATATTCACATCTTTCCTTGTTTGGAATATTCTTGCTGTATCATTGTTGAATTTGTGAGCTTTGGCAAATGGCTGATTATTATAAAGTATTACATAAAGATTGTTTGACAACAGTTATAAGTGAGGGGTCACTGACTAGCAGACTGATGTGTCATCTTAGCGTATACCTCAGAACATCCAAACCTAATGTTTATTGTGTATTTGGGATGTATTTTAAAGGTTGTTGTCTGCATCATCTATACCTGCAAAAGGACTAAATGTTGCCCTAAACATGTAGACACTTAGGTGTGTGCCATTTACAGACAACAGATATGTTGATGGCTAAAATGCAGTTAGGATTTTTTTTTTTTAAATAACATCTGTCTATGTGACGGAGACAACAGGTTGCTTTTCATTTGTATAGGGGTTACACATTTTTTATTGTGTAGAACTACCACTTCTATCCAATAGGCAAAAGTTTTACAAACTCAAATGACTGGTCGGGTGCTTTACGAGGAAAGCCATCTTTCCTGCATCTACAGAATAACCCTGAAATCTTAGTTGTTTAAACTGCAGGGATTACAGGGATAGTTGTCAGATATGCCGCACTTTTTAAAATTTCCTGTCTGCAGATTTCCAGGGTACCTTTGCTCTTCAAAGTGCTAAGGTCATTTATCAGCCTCCATCTGACTCTGTCTTTAATTCCAAACCTTTTTTAGAGCCTGCTGAATTATACTTTGCAAAGCCACTGCAGAAGTACTAAGTCTCTAGACAACTATGTTACATATTGTGTTTATAGACATGAACTTATGAAGACATGAACTTGTGTGGTTGATTTTGTTGGTTAAAGTTTTTTAACTTTGAAGGTTAAAGTTAATTTGTTGGCATGACCAAAAGATTTTAGTAAGAGCCAGAGATAAATCACAAGATTGTTTATTTGTTTTTTAAACCGGGTTTGTTAATGGGTTTTCATTTACTCAATTAAATAAGTTTTGTTTAATCGCATGATGAGATAACAGGAAATTGCACATTTTTCTGTCAGGTGGATTAGCACAAACTCCTTGCCTTCCCTTATTTAGAGTTCAGTGAGCAGTTACCCTCCCTGAAGGTCCAGTCTGAGCCTCT